GGACACTGCACCGAGACCACTTTAATGAGCTGAAGTGATCTGGGTGCCTATAGTGTCCCTTTAACAATTTTCCAAATTATGTCAGTGAGGGGTAAATCAGCTAACAGGTGGAAAGCATAAATATTGCCAGAGACTTGTGGGAGTTACATTCTTGAATTAATCTAAAATAGCTGTCACTTAAGACTATAATTCTCTATAATTGCAGGCCACACTGGAACATGTTAACCCATTACGCTTATCATAAACATTTCCTGTAATATAAGGGACACATAAAGGCATGTATTAGAGTCAGTGTGTTTAAAGTGTATATTTTGAGTGTGGCAGGGGGTCACAGTAATGTATTGTGACTATAAACAGTTTGAATGTGTTGTTTATATTTTTATTTTGTTCCCTTTGAGCAGATGAAGAAGCCATGGTGAAGACTCTCTTTGAAGACATTCCTCAAGTCAGTTCTCAGGGGTCGATGCTACATAACCTTGGACATGTAGATGGCAGACACAGCAGCAAGCTGCACCAACCACGTGAGAGGCAGCGAGATTCTGCAAGAATTTCCCCAGAGAAGTCCATAGCAAGGGAAAGAAGCACCGTTGACTCAGCCGGCAATATTACATTGATGACCGAGACTGTGTATAAATGCAATAAATGCGATAAAACTTTTTTCACTCGATCTGGTTACCGGAAACACCAGAGGAACCACACGGAAGAGAACAGCTATGTGTGCAACATCTGTGGTGAAATGTTCATGGACTGGCCAAGTTTCAATATGCATAAGGACAGCCACACAGGGGGCAGACCCTGGGCCTGCCCCACCTGTGACAAACGTTTCAGGCTCCAGTCCCACCTAACACGGCACGAGAGAACCCACACAGGAGAGAGACCCTTCATTTGCAATGCTTGTGGCAAATGCTTTGGTCAGAGTTCTAACCTTGCCACCCACATGAGAAGCCACACAGGAGACAAACCGTATGTATGCTTTAAGCAGGGTTAGCGTTTCACCCATAATTCTCAGCCGGCGGCACTGTGTCCTGCTGAGAGAAGCTTTTTCATCCCGTGCAGTGTAGAACAGGGTTTAGGAAGTGCAAACACCTTAGTTTACAGGGAATAATTTGTACACCTACTCTTTCCGGGAACGATGCTTTAACACCAGTTCTTATCTTCTCTCAGACCAGAATGCTGTGTGCTTGCACTCAGCCACAGGCCAAAAAGAGAGACATAACATGCGTAACTTATACAACATGTAGAATCTTCAAACTGCCAATCATTTCATATTGAAGCTTAATGCCATGGAGCAGAAAAGCGAGCAGAGTTCTAAAGAGAAAGTAATCACTATGGAAACCAATGGTTTCAGTGGGAAATTCCCATAGTAAATGCTTCATTGTTTGCTGTAGATTTATGGCAAACCACCCAATTTATCAATGGCTTATTTATTCTCTGAATTGTTCATAAATTGACTCCTGGGCAATTCTCTAAATATTCTATACCCGATACTCTAAATTGTAATGCATTCTTAAAGGATTGATTGGGATAAATAAGAAGGGGTCTTAATCAATGTTATATATTTCATGAATTTTCCTTTTTTTAAACCCACCTGTTCGTCAGTTTAGTACTTTCAGGGTTATCGCCCAGTTTCTAAATACGCAGCACTTGCATAGTTGAGCCAACCGCCTGCCAGATGGTGGTCACTGGATTATATTATATAGGTGATCCATCTTAAAAAATAAATTACACACCAAAAAAAAAACCTCTCTCAATAAAGAAACCAGTTCCTTTGGCTACTTTATTAAGGCTGCTGTAAAGTGTCCCATATCTCTAAAACAGAGCTTTTCATGTTGGTGACACACATTTTAGACATGCATCATTTCGGGACACAACAACAGTGTTCTATTTCTTGAATACGTCACTTGAGCTGTGGCCGTTTTACCAGAAGTGTAAGGGAATCAATAGCAGTTTCGTCCCGATTCCACATGCTGTGCGTGCACAGTACATGTATGATCCCTTTACTGTCTTTAAAAAAACTCTGGCCCCTATTCACAATTTTGTATTATAACATACCCAGCCCAAGATGGCTCTTCTCACCTTATTAACTGTGGCTATCAGAGTGGAGTGGCGGGCTGACAGACCTCTTTCTTCCACCAGCCCCTGTGTGTGTCTGTTTCTCTGCCAACCCTTTTGTGTGTCTCTTTTTCTCTTTCCTCTATGTGTTTATCTTCCGCCAGCCCTTCTGTGTGTCTCTTTGTCCCCCTTTAGCCCCTCTGTGTGACTCTTTGTGTCACCTCAGCCACTCTGTATGTCTCGTTTTCCTGCCATTCGGTGTGTCTCTTTGTGCCCCCTTAGCCCCTCTGTGTGTCTGTTTCCTCCCAGTCCACTGTGTGTTTCTTTGTGCCCCTGTCAGGATTACAAGTTGATCCAGCACGCAGTACTGTGTCACACCTAGGACTAAGGATAACGTATAACGGGACCTTAGAATGGCCGGACTTAACGTCTCCAAGAATAGACAAAATACTTGCCAAGGTCAGGGACCCAGAATCAGACACAAGGATGAGGGAAAGCCAAAAATCAAGGATACCAGATATCAGGGAAGTCAAAACAAAGCCAAAGTCAAATACCAGAAAATCAAGATCAGGAACGCACTCTCAGATAACCATAGGCATGAAACCTCGACAGGGCAATGAGCAAGTGGAGAATTGGGCTTAAATAACCCTCCTGTGGATCTGATTGGCTGTTACTGGCCTTTGACCCCAAAGGCAATTACGAGGTTTCCATGTGCATGATTGCTGCTCGGCACAACTTTGTCAGGACGGTAATTTTGCTCGGCCCAACTTTTCCTATCAGGACAATAAATGCCATTAACCACAATTTTATGTGCGGATGAATACGTGACAGCTCCCTCCTCTCCTGTGTCCTTCTATCCCCCTCTTATGCCCTTCTTCAGTCCTCACTCCCCTCCATCTTCTGTCCTCTGTGCCCTTATTTGTCCCCTCCCTAGCCTCACCTCCCTCCATGTAGCGTGGCTAAGCAGATGGACTGCTACATGGAGTGACCGGCAGGAGAGGAACGCTGTGCAATGCACTCTTCTTCCTGTCAGACACATCATTCACACAAGACACTGAGACAGTGCAGCCGACACACTAACGTGTTGTGCCACACAGTTTGGAAGGATGTGCCCTAAAAGGAATCTATACAGGATAGTCTGTCATATAACAAGAAGTATTGACGTAACTCCTGCTTTATACAGAATTGTCACTTGTGGGGTTTTTGCATTTTGTGACATGTCCTGCTACAGTTGTAATCAAAATTTTTCAACCACCATTGAAAAGCAGGGTTATTGTCAACATGTACAATGTACAGTTCTTTGCAATGAACACATCAACCAAATCGATAGCTCAATACTACAAATGCTTCTAGTGTGTTCCCCAAAAACAACTGAAAATGCAACTAATAAAGTCTCCAGTCTCAAATTTATTCAATCCTGAGAATAGAATCCCTCACAACAGCACAGATATGCAAAACAGGTGGTGGTGTCTCAAGCACACCTGATGCAATTAATCAAAAGCATTATTAGTTGCACCTGAACTTACTTGGGGTTTGTCGAGTGTCTCGTTTGACTGCATTTTAGAAATATGGCAAAAAAATGGTTCACAAAGTTAAGAAAATAGATCATTGCCCTTCACAAACAAAGAACAGAATACAAAAAAAATAGCGAAAGCACTGAATGTTCCTATAGACACCGTTGGGAGAATAGTTTGCAAGTTCAAAGTTGAAGGAATGGTGGTTGCACTATCTGGACAGGGCAGAAAAAGGAAGCTATCAATGGCTGAAACCAAATTTCTGAGAAGACCGGTTGTGAAAAATCCTTGAGTGACTGCAAAACACCTGCAGCAAGACATGGTGGCAACAGGCACTAAGGTTTTAGTGAGCACAGAGGATTTTCATGAAAGAAATCCAAAACGTACACCACTACTGACACAAAAGCACAATAAAAGTTGGCTCCAATATGCTCAAAATCATTTAAATAAGCCACATAAGTTTTGTGATTCTGTTCTGTTGAGGGATGAAACAATACTGGAACTTTTCAGTTGAATGGATCGGCAGTATGTCTGGAGGAAGAAGAATGAAGTCTATGCTGAAAAGAACACAACATTGTTAAAGGGACACTGCAGGCACCCAGACCACTTCTGCCCATTGGAGTGGTCTGGGTGCCAACTCCCACTACCCTTAACCCTGCAGCTGTAAATATTGCAGTTTTCATAAACTGCAATAATTACATTTCAGGGTTAACTCCTCCTCTAGTGGCTGTCTACTAGACAGCCACTAGAGGGCACTTCCTGGTTTCTAGCACAGGTTTTCTGTCGCTGGACATCCTCACGCTGTGGAAAGCATTGAAAGCATTTTCAATGCTTTCCTATGGAGAGGTCTAATGCGCGCGCGGCACTGTCGAGCATGCGCATTAGGTCTCCCCCGCCGGCGGCCGCGCATGCGCGATTGGTCTCCCCTGCATCGGCGGCCGTCTCAGGTAAGTCACTAAAGGGGTTTTCACCCCTTCAGCTACATGGGATGGGTGGTGGGAGGGATGGTTTTGTTTACTTTTCCTGGCACTGGAGTGTCCCTTTAAGCATTGTGGTGGTTCTGTGATGCTCTGTGGCTACTTTGCATCCTCACTTTGCATGGCACTGGAAACCTGCAGTGTGTGGAAGGCAATATGGATTTATTGAAGTATCTGAGAATCCTGGGAGAATAGGTCATGCTGTCTGTGAGCAAGCTGAAGCTTGGGCGTCTTTGAACCTTTCAACAAGACTGATCCCAAGCATACCTCAAGTTCCACGAAGCCTTAGTTTCAGAAGAAGTCCAGGGAAATTCTACAGTGGCCATCACAGTCATCTGCCCTGAACCCCATTGAAAATCTGTGGTGGGATTTGAAGACGATGGCTGTAGCATGCAAACCCAAGAATATTACTGAACTGGAGGCCATTGCTCATGAGCAATGGGCTAATATTTTTCAGGAATGCAGCCAGAAGCTGGTGTCTGGCTCTCCATCCCGTTTGCAGCAGGTCATAACAACAAAAGGGTGCTCTACCAAGTACTAAAGATGCTTGCCATGAATGGGTTGAATAATTTTGAGACTGGAGAAGTCATTATACGTTGCATTTTCAACTGAATTTGGGGAAAAAAACTTTAAGCATTTATTGTTTTGACTATTTCGATTGCTTTTGTTTGATGTTTTCATTGCAAACAGCTGAAAGTCTGTAATTTTTACAATAACCCTGATTTTCAGTTGGGGGTTGAGTAATTTTAATTAAAACTGTATATAGTCACATCCAGTGAGTGAGGGGAATGGTAAATATACTTACCTGAATCTATCCCTCCTCATAGTGCCATCTTCCTCTCCAGCTCCTGTCGGACTCACCTCCCGGCTATGGAATATCTCTGGATTGATGATCTAAAGCTTGCACAGTTTGGTGCCATAGGCATGTATTGCATGATAATATGTCTGTCCCAATCAGCCGTTACAAGCTAGAGCTACTGGGTAATGGAAAGATGAGGTGCCAAGAACAGTTCCGTCTGTTGCCAAACTTAGCCAAAAATTGAGCAGCGTAAGACATTTATTTTGATTGCATTTGAAATAACAATGGAATTAAAGTCTTAAAAACTCAGTGTTTCTACATAACATAAAGAAGACGTTTTTGAAGATTGAAGGTATTCTATGATTGCCAAACTAAAATAGAATGTGGTCACGAAGTTAATGTCACCGTGGAACAGTAAAATATGTGATAGGGGCAGGTTGGCAAATTACAAACTAACTGTACATGTTCGGAAAACATGTACAAAAGTTTGAGAGAATAATTTCGGAAAAATGTTTTAAATTTAGATTGTATGTATGTAAAATTGCTGGCTAACTTTGGCACCTCTGAATATTTGTGAATTAATTTTTTTGTTCAGCCATTTAGCATCTTTTATTCAGAATGTTTTCTCTATAAATAAACAAAAAGCAGTAAAAATATCCCCCTTGAAAGTATTTGCTCAAAATACTATATCATTTTTTGAGTACTGTTAAACTCCCTTCACTGTGAGAGCGCCCCCTAATGTATTCAGTATAGAATGGATCGTGGTGCACAAATGCTTATTGTGCACAAATATTTTAATGTGCTAAAAACAGAATTATTATTTTTTATAGTGAACCTGTTATCTAAAAATGTCATTCCTGCATTATTTTTATTTTTTTTAATTAGAAATTTATTTAGCAAACAGTGAACTGAAAACCGAACTTTCACATAAAACTTGAATACATTTACAAATCTTCTGTTTAAACTGAAATTTAGCATTTAAATTCTCAGTTCATTATACTTAGGAATTAGCAAATTAACCCTTCAGTATTTAATCTCAACAATATTCTAGCCAATGAGCTAGCAATCTATAGCTGAGTAGATTATTTCATACGTATGTGTAAACCTGTCCCAGCATCGTTTGCAATTTATTTTATGTGCATGGAATTCTGAGACAGATTGGAAAAATAGCATATGGAGCTAGATACATTTTATAACTAGTCATTCTAATTAGTAATCACATTTTTATACACAACCTGATACAGACTAAATTGTTTCCTCATAGACCTATTTTATTTTAGGATATGAACCACTGCGCACCTCTGGTTGTCAAATAGCCCAATGTGTGGCATCTATTCACACGTTACTGTAAAAAGGGCAATCTTTGTCTGCCGAAGACAAACAGAAACAATGTTATTCACTGAAATATATCATTTTTGGGAGATCCAAACGAGTGAATTGTAGTGAAATTGAAAAATAAACTGCAAAAAAGTAAAAATTGACAAAAAAATCTACCACTTAACTAGTAGTGAAAGCGTGGGTGTTTGAGCATGGATTTGCAATTTAGTTTTAATTTACTAGAATTCGGCATTTAGTGAATAGGCACTAAAGTGAATTTTACCGAAATGCAAACTGCTGATTAAAATGTGAAATTCACTTTAAAATCCTGGCAATTCAAACTTTGGTGACTAGCTCTGACAGTATGTCGTTTTGTGAATGTGTTTCTAACTTTATTTATTTTTTTTTTTTTAGGATGAAGAGTTATCCAGAGGCTTAGTTAATGGCAACTTTTTATTTGAAGAAGAGAGTCTCTCTGACATATTGTGATGTCACAGCCTTTTGTGGCGAGATGAAGGCCGAACATTTTCGGTGTACGGTTGTAGCAGTCAGTCAGGACTCCACGAAGTTGATTATCAGCCCCTGATCTAGGTAGAAGTTTGTTTGCGCTGATTTGAATACAGCTTAGTGAATCTGTACCTCGTTTTTGCCAGTAAACTACCCCCATTTTACTAGCAAGCACTGTGTCTCCTGCATCGGTTGATTTTTATGTTCTCTAATTAATTAACTAAAAACTTACCTCCTTGGTGAATATGGCTGTGGGTTATTAGAATTTTGTAGACGCCTGTCTACAGATTCCGAATGCTTCTTTGTTAGATTGCAATGACAATAAATGTTTTATTTCTGTTATTTTCTTGTGTGATTTAATATGGTTAACAATATTATGGGGTGTATTTGTATGTACTGTTGCCATTGGAATGCAGTGGTGTACTAGTGTTTGGTGATTGATTGAAGGGCTGCTGGTATATAATTTTAGTTATTTTTTAACACGTGTGTGTTTTTAAGTAATGCTTGCGTTTGATTGCAATGTTGGCTTTTAAATGCAGATGTACATATATGTGTAGTATTTGTGTTTGAGTGAAGGATTGTGTTTGTTTATAATCTTGGAGTTTGAATACAGTGGTGTGTTTGTATGTAATTTTTGTGTAAGAGTGCAGGAGTGTGGCTGAGGACTGACATAAAGCCTCACCCTGCGACATGACTAAAACCTTACTACACACACTTAGGACAGAACTGGAAACCCACCAATTTCAAATAGTAGAGAGAGCTATACGGAAACTGAAAACCGACTATTATAGGCAAGGGAACAGGGCGGGAAAACTCCTGGCCACCCAATTAAAAACGACAAACTCTCAAATGAGAATACCCTACCTGCTGGACAAGGCTGGGGAGAAACTGGTCAACCCAACAATGATGGTTTGCAGCATTCTACAAATCGCTGTGTAACCTCTCCTCCGAACCCTCCCGACACCAACCAACGCACTCCGACATACTTGCCTTTCTTGATGGTATAGATCTTCCCCAAATCACTAGAGGCCAAGCCAAAGACCTGGACAGACCAATTACTACAGACGAAGTATCCAAAGCACTGCACGCCACCCCACGACACAAAGCCCCAGGCCCTGACGGATTCTCCACCCACTACTACAAGATATTCGAGGACCAACTACTCCCACACCTGACAGCCCTGTTCAACCATATTCTGGAGACAGGCCAAATTCCACCGGACATGCTCAAAGCCACTATAGTCACAATCCCCAAACCAGGCAAACCACGACCTCCTGTGCAAACTATAGGCCAATTTCGTTGCTGAACACGAACACTAAGCTCTTAGCAAAATTTCTAGCTAATAGAATCCGCCCTCTTCACCGGTGACATACTTTTATTCCTCACCAACCCGACAGACTCCCTCCCAAGCCTGTTAACACTTCTCTCTGACTACGGACGGGTATCCTACTACAAAAACAATGTAGCTAAAACACAGATGCTGCCAGTGCACCTAGCAAGTACCACTCTGACTGACCTGAAGGCGCTCTTCCCATTCGAGTGGAGAATAGATACCATCTCTTACCTGGGTATACAACTGGCGCTTTAGAAGCAACACATACTAAAACATAACCTGTACTGACAAAGTCTAACTTGGCACTGGAAGGTTGGGGGGAAAAACACTCCTCGTGGCTGGGTCGTATTAATACCATAAAAATGATTATTCTCTCCCAACTACTCTTCCTATTCAGAGCCTTGCCCATCGAAATTCCCAAAAAAACTTTAGTGCAGTTTCAACGTATGTTGAACGCACATATATGGAAGAAGAAACCACCTAGCCAGCATGGATTGGTCATGGGGGGAGGAGGCGTGGGGGTCCCTAACATCTCTAAATACTATTTTTGGCAACCAACCTGGCCCAAACAGCAAGGCTCCTGTCTAGTTGGCAAAACCCTTTGTGGCTTCAGCTGGAAAACGCGATTAGCGCACCACACTCACTGACAGACCTGATATGGATCCTCACCCGCTTCCAACCCTGACAGATAAGTCTCCTGATGTCCTCCAAAATATCCCTCCACATATGGGCAAGATGGGCACCCAAAGTGCTGCAGAGACCCGTAGACGTGTACGCCCCACTAACTAGTTTACAATACTGTTCACCTGACCTAACACTGGATAGATGGCTGGAGATGGGGTTACCAAGGTGTTACGACACGTACCGTCGGGTAGATGAAGCCGCCGTTTAGTCAATAATCCCCTTCTCCAGAAATGCAGTTTAAATCCAGCCGACCGCCAAACTCCCGAACGAAGTCCACGAACACGGCAACTCCCGATCAGCAAAACAGTTGAACGCCTTCCACAGCTAAAAATAACGAAAGCGCTGTCCCAGTAATAATTCCCCCACAAACGAGACCAAGCTCCGTCTTGAGGGTCAAATGAAGATCTGTTTAATGGGGGCTACCTGCCCGGTATTTATGCAGGTCTCCACAAGGTGGACACTCCCCGAGGGGACCTTGTGGAAGACTGTAAAACATATTGGACAGTAGCCAATCGCAGTGGCTTCAATAATAGCCCTTCCCATCTTACCCATAATTCCGTCTTCTCTACCCCGGAGATAATTAGGAAGAAACCTAATTATCTCCCAAGGTAGAGACAATCGCCATTTTAACTTACAGTAATAAAAATACATTAAAATACATAACTGCAGAAATACCGAATACATATAGTTCGTGTAACGTATCCCCAGACAGCCTGGATCTGAGTGCATGTTTTCACCGAATAGCGCTCAGATCCGATGTATCTAGTCGAATCGCCATGGAGTCAAAGTCTTTCACCAGTCCTTCGGTATACGAATGACTCCATGGGATGGCTGTCTGGGTGAAAGTCCATATGAATGAATAAAAACTCCCGAACGACCGACGTTCGCATGCCTTGTCGAAATGGAAGGTAGGCAGCAGCTTCCAGCGGTGTTCGGTAGTTTAAGTGTCCGTTTTTAGTTCCATACAGTTTGTACCGAACACCGCTATGCGTTCGTATGTCCCAAAATGGCCGCTGCCTCGTGGTCGACATGCGAACGACGACCACCCGTACGAATGGAATGGAGAGGTGTCTGCGGTTAACCACAACGTTCTAATTGGGGCCAAGAGGTTAACCAGCAGCACACTCCTCTCCTGGGTGGTCGTTCGTTCGGTAGTTTCAATCGGTAGTTTGCAAATTACACGAACGGGGGTATATGAACAGGCAATTTAGCGAACAAAGGGAAACAGACGAACCAGCAATACAGATGAATCTGTCACACGGCTCCCCCCTTGTGGGACACTCCGGCAGACCCGGCTTGACCCTTTGGCGGGTCAACGTGGGGATGACCGGACTAAGATGGGGTGAGGATGTCGGTTTGCCTGGACAATCCATCTGCATTCCCATTCTGCTTACCGGGTCGATAAGTGATGGTGAAGTTATATGGCTGTAGTGCTAAACTCCACCTCAGCAGTCTGCCATTGTCTCCTGAGACCCGGTTAAGCCAGACAAGGGGATTGTGGTCCGTCACCAGGGAAAATTCCTGTCCATATAAATACGGGCTTAACTTTTTCAATGCCCACACCAGGGCCAAACACTCCTTCTCCACTGCCGCATAACTCACTTCTCTGGGTAACAGCTTCCTACTGAGATATGCGACAGGGTGCTCTCCTCCATCTTCCCCGACCTGGCTCAGCACAGCCCCCAGTCCATACATGGAAGCATCTGTATGGACGAGAAAACGTTTGTTAGGGACTGGGGCAGCCAGGACAGGGGCATTCACAAGAGCTTGTTTGAGTGCTTGGAACGCAGCTTCACAAGCTGGAGACCACAGGACCTGCTTAGGAAGATTTTTCTTTGTCAGGTCAGTCAGGGGTTTAGCAATAGTGCTGTAGTCGGGGACAAAGCGTCTATAGTACCCTGCTGTCCCTAGGAAGGCTAACACCTGGGTCTTGGTGATAGGTGTGGGCCAGTTAGCTACTGCCTCTATCTTGGCTGGCTCTGGCCTCTGGCTCCCACACCCTACTCTGTGACCCAGGTACTGCACTTCAGCCATGCCTAAATGGCACTTCTCTGGCTTCAATGTCAGGCCAGCGGCCCGAATCTTGTCCAGTACTACCCCTACATGTACTAGGTGTTCTTCCCAGGACTCACTGTAGATCGCAATGTCATCCAGGTATGCACAAGCAAATTCCTGGAATCCATCAAGAAGTCTATCCACCATACGCTGGAAGGTAGCCGGGGCATTCTTCATCCCAAATGGCATGACCTTAAATTGGTACAGGCCAAATGGGGTGACGAAGGCCGACTTGGGGATAGCATCCTCGGCCAGGGGAATCTGCCAGTAGCCTTTGCACAGGTCTATGGTGGTCAGATAGCGTCCCCTGGCAATGCGATCTAACAATTCGTCTACCCGGGGCATCGGGTAGGCGTCAGTGGTGGTCCGCTCATTGAGACGCCTGTAGTCCACACAGAACCGGGTGGTCCCATCCTTCTTGGGCACCAGGACTACAGGCGAGGCCCAAGGGCTATCGGAGTGTTCGATGACCCCCAGCTGGGTCATCTCCTGTATCTCCTTCCGCATTCCTTCCCGGACTGCTTCAGGGATACGGTAAGGGGGTTGTCGCAGAGGGTTCTGTCCAGGGGTTTCTACCTTGTGTACAGCTAGGGTAGTGTAACCAGGTTCTTGGGAGAAGGTCGCCTGCTTATCCCACAGAAGCTGTCTTGCCTGGCCCTTCTCGGTGGAGCTCAATCTGTCCCCTAGCTGTACCAGGCTAGTAAGATCCGTCTGGGGGTCCCTCTCTAACAGATCTAGCAAGGGTAAACTTTCTGTATCATCTGCAGCAGGGGCACATACTGCAGCGACATTCTCTGGTCTCTCTTGATACTCCTTTACCATGTTCACATGGAAGGATCGCTGGATCCTTTCATCTGAACAGCTGGCTATAAGGTAGGTAGTATCACATATCTGTGCTAACACCTTATACGGGCCCTGCCAAGATGCCTGCATCTTGTTTGCCTTCACAGGTTTGAGTACTAACACTTTCTGCCCAACCTGGAGGACTCGCTGTCGGGCACCCCGATCGTACCACCTCTTCTGTCTCCCCTGAGCCACCTGGAGATTTTCCCTTACCATTAGGGACAGTTTCTCCATGCGGTCCCGGAGTTCCAGAACATACGGTACTATGGGGGTCCCTTCCTGCTCTGTCTCCCCCTCCCAGTGGCCTCTAATGAGATCTAGGGGTCCGCGGACCCTTCTCCCATATAGCAACTCAAAGGGGGAGAACCCAGTAGATTCCTGAGGCACCTCTCTG